AAACCATCTCACTATGTTGTACCTCTATTGCTTATCAACAATGTTTCTTTTCTTCCTGATAAAATTGTGTCTTGGTCTTGCTGGCGAAAATGTATCGCAACGAGCACCTCGTGTCGTGCTTTGATATGTCGTAAATCACGACACATCCAACACATTTTAACTTAGTGTGTCTAGAAAAGAAAGAAAAGTAAAAAAAAATATGATGTTCTTTTACATTATAGTCGCCATATTTCTGAATGTCGATGTCACTATTTATATTCTTCATAAAAATAAGCAATAACAAGACACAATTTTATCAGGAAGAAAAGAAACATTGTTGATAAGCAATAGAGGTACAACATAGTGAGATGGTTTTAATAGCCGAACTGGTTGGTAAAAAATTACTCAACGGTACATATTCGACGGAGCTCGATTCAAGCGAATTAAAGAATAAAACAATTGGTCTGTACTTTTCGTAAGTTGTGCTCAGTTGAGTTTTATTTGGCGATCGAAATCAACTGATGATCTTGACTTTTGGTATTCACTTCTAGTGCTTGTTGGTGTCATCACTGTCGAAGCTTCACTTCAAAATTAGTTCAGGCCTATAAAACTGCTCTATCCAACAACCGTAATCTATTGTTCGATATTATCTTTGTATCCGGTGATACTGATGAAGAATGATTACAGAATAGAAAAATGAACATCTTGAAAACTCTACTAATCAAATGCTCCGTTTTGCCTTATCCAATAGATCGCCAGCAAGCTGAAAATCTTAATCAGCATTACGAGAGAGAAGATATCCCATCATTGATTATTCTGAAACCGAATTGTGAAATTCTGACATCAGAAACTGATGAAGAATTAATATCAACAAATGCAATAGAAAAATGGACTGAAAGTAAAACGGTATTTTGGACACCAGAGTCTCGAAACAGTAGTGGACAAGTTTGGTTGGATATTTATTGTCGAACATGTTATATGAAACCATTGGTGGGTGAACGTTACGGATGTCCAAATAGAGAATGTAGTTATGATCTTTGTGCCGAATGTTATCACAAAATTACGAAAGAGAATGAACATAATCACGAATTAATTCATTTTTTATCACCTAAAAATAAGTATTCGATAGAGCAATTGCTTGATTACAGTGACTTGATAAGTAACCAAAATGAACGTGTGACATTAAAATCATATGAAGGAAAATATATAGGTCTTTACTTTTCTGGTCTCTGGTGCCAAACGAATGAAAACTTTGCTTCGGATTTAGCACAAGTGTATGAAAAAGTAATCGAAATTAATTTACCTTTCGACATTATCTTCATCTCGACAGATAATAGTCAAAATATGTTCAATAAGCATTGTCAACAAATGCCTTGGAAAATATTGCCGTTCGATAATTATGTAACCAAACTACGACTGAAGACTTATTTTTCTGTTAGTATATTACCAGCTTTCATTATTTTAAAACCCACTGGCGAACTTCTAACAAAGTCTGGTCAACGAGATATTAATATAAAGAAAATAGAGGCGATTCAGACTTGGTGCAAAGATGAAAAAGTTGAGCATTCATCCGACGATTTTGTTTGGTCATCAGTAACATGTGATGGATGCGGTATGATGCCATTGATCGGAAAACGATTTTATTGTGAAACATGTTCAAACTATGATATATGTACAGCGAGCAAGGAGAAAGGACATGAACACGAACTCATTCTTATTGCACCGCTAGATGAAATTGACTAAAAATGAAGTAAACGTTACTATAACGAACCCTTCCTTTTCTCGAATTCGAGAAACTCGATAAGATAATGTTCAAAAATATTCATAGAAAAGGGTATGGGTGCGGGTGTGAATATTAGTAGTCTCATCATCTACACCCACCGTTATACCATATATCATTCTGATTGATAAATATTAGTTGCTCAAAGTGAATAGTTAATATTGAATCATTCTGTTCATTGGATACATTGAGAACTACATATTTTCTGTGCTCCATTGAAAAGAGAAGTTTACTATAGTTGTTTTAGAAAATTGTTTACATTGGACTATTCATTTGAGGAATGTGTTAGAGTACAATGGGTATTACATTGAGCTAATAAGTCCTAGATCTCTGATCTTCGTTTTCGATTGTGCGTAATCGAAAGGCTCAGCAGTCCATGATGGAGTTCGCTCATGGACCATCTAAATGGGATCGATTGGCGACAAACTAATCGCCACAGGGTACCCAGATGCCTTGACCAGTCCGTTCGGACGCTTACAATACACAAGTTCCGTCTATGCTCGTGTGCGTAATGTTGGTCCTGCTCAGGATTGCTTCCGGAACTTGTTTAGATTTGGATCAGTCAACAGCATCCTCTCAAGACCGGGTAAAGATCCCGAAAATGACTTTATGTAGCGCTGTGAAAATGAGAAATCAATGCCTATCAATCAGATTATTCATTGAAACAGCAGTAAGTTTTATTTTGCCGTTTTAGTTGATATTTTCAATCTCGGACGCTCATCATTCCGTAGTGTGTCACTGAAATTAGGCTGAAATGAACACGATACATTTCTTATCATATATTAATGAAGTTGAAGCAGTCTTTTGATACTGTGACTCATCGAAACAGACCACGTACGACCCGATTGTTGCGCATAATTTCTCTTGGCTTTTTTTACGGAAAAAAGATGTGTTTGCATTGGATATACTTGATATATTTGTTTTCATCTGCATAACAGGAGACTTCGTTATGAAAAATAGAAGCATGTCAATAAAAACGTAAGTTTCAATTTAGTATCATTATTTTAAGCAGCGAACGTAAATAAAATTATGCAAAACAATACATTTTTAAAAGTCTTTATGTGAAAATTTATAATAATTGGATTTCCTACCGAAATTCTGATTTTCACTAATTTTATTTTCTTTGAATAGAGAAAACAAGGAATAATTACGATAATTGATTTTATTTGTTCTATGATTAGAACAGTTCTTATGATAGATAGCTTTATTGAAACACTTGAAGATGTACCATGTTGAAATATCTGTAATCTTGTTAGTATTGATGAATGCTTATTTAAAACTGATATAATGACTACATTTGAAAATGTATACAAGCTTCAAGTATGTTGTTCTGTAAGAGTTCTATGAAAAAATATTTGTATCTTTTTTAGGAAATGAAATATAGTGTCACTCCTGTCGTACGTATTGCTATTGAACCAAAAAATCCAGATGATTTACCAAATTATTATTATTTATTGAAATGCACTATAAAGAATTTGGGTATGAGGGTGTGGCTCTGTGAAAAGAAGAGACTGGCACCCACATCCCACACCCCATGAGCTTATCAGGTCTCTTCGATTATCATAATCAGTATTTTCCTTATTGGCACATATCTTTTACTAATATTCTGAGCCGTTACTCTGCACAACAATATCTGAAACTACGTGCTTTCGTAACAACACTAGCAACATCATTACATCTTTGTCAACACATTGCTTAAACTTCACTTCACCGGAGTATTGATTGTGTTCTGTTCCTTTTGAAACTTGGAAAAACCAACAGTTGACAGTCAACATAGGGCGTCATTCGTGGATTAGATAATGCTGATGGACGAGGGTAATGATAATCAAAACGAGAGTTGAAAGACATGGCATTGTCACGTAACTTTAGTACTGATGCTGGGGCAGTACAAGCCAAGCGTCAATATTACAGAACATCAGTAAACGTATTAAAGGGTGGCTACGTGAATGGTCGACAGTGTGATATGCTGCACACTTTTCTCTGTAACATCGGTACGTTTCATGTCTCTTCTTCTCAAATTTCTTTATCATTCCTGATCTCAACCAGATATCTTTTCTGTTCCGAATATAACCTGCTAAAGTTGATAGTTATGATAATAATCATGAACGGTGAATAATATTGACTGAAGGCAGGTATATCTGGAAAGGCATGAGCGGAAGAGCATGGCGCTGTTAGGTTGATATGGGAGTGGGTGTGGGGTGTCGGTGATGAGAATACTAATATCCAGAGTGTGAGTGTGGATGTGGGTGCGATGTGAGTTTTTATGGGTATGGATGTGGCTCTTGTTGCGTGTGGGAGTCAGAAAAAAGACAAAAAAATACACACCTACATCCACACCCACCCCCACCCCTACCCACCAGAGATGTCCATCGTAGCGCTAGAATCAACGCAATCGAACCGCGGCCGCGGTTCAATTAGGTTGACTGTAGCGCCGCGATGGACATCTCTGCTACTCACATCCTCCGTCATTAGAGAGACTCCCACAACCACAATCTATTATCCGCTAAGTTGGAATTCTTGAATAATTCCATGGTTCGAAATCGGAGGATCGTATATCAGAAAGTGAATCCTCCTTGTTCCATATCTATCTGAGCGTCCAATGATAGTGTTCACAAACCACAGCCACCAGTAGTTTTTTCTTGATATTTTTTCTATCCTGATAGCATTTCACAAGAGCTATCGAAGGATAAATGAATCAAGGTGGCGGACTATTTGAGTCCTTGGGAAACTTGGGTCCTAATGTTGGAAAATCGATCAATGTGGACAACATAGGAGTTTTCCCGTAGAGATTGTCACATTACTGACTCACACTAGCCAGTAACTTTTTCTTGATGTTTCAGCAGCACGTGATAGTACTTGAGAAGAGCTATCGGGTAGTACATAGACGCCGTCGGTTATCTTTCGGAACGGTTGATAATTACTATTCACGTATTTTAGCACTAACTGAGCCAATAGAGTTTTATATTAGCCTCTGAGTATAACATATAATTTGAGGCCGGATACGGTGTAGACGCATTATATTGGTTCGGTTTTTGTAACAAACCATTTCTGAGAGCTATAGTAAACTGTTAATAAGGAAAAACCAAAATTTTAGATGGGAGCTGATTTCATTGCTTATCGACCTCTCTCTTTTCCGGCATGCTCACTTGATCCAAGATAAACGCTGCTCCAAACACTCTAGCTACAGTTTACTGATGTATGCTTAGTTTTGGACTTCTTTCCTCTCCTTTTCTGAACCATTGTAGTTTGATTATGAAACTCGCTCAGAGTGTCCTTCAAGCGTAGCAGCTTCTTCCTCTACCATTCATACAGTATACAATGTCTTGTCATTAGATAATGATGCCTTCTAGAACTTGGTTTAGCAACAATGAGGCGAAGTTGTACTTAAAATAATCAAAATACACGATATCTTCTCAGCTGATTGTCTCTACAACAATGAAAATAACTGTTCCTTCCTGGAATTTGACTCAGATATACTTATTTTAATGTAAACTCCTTCTTATACACCCATTCTCATCCATTTTGTTCTTTTCTCTTTGCCACTTCAAAAAAAAAATTACAACTGTTTCTTTATGAGTTCAATTGATTCGCGAATTTTCTGGATATCAGGATGATTCGGTGGAAGTATTTGTGTCCTGATGTAAAGAGCCTTTTCGAATAGTGCGAGCGCCTTTGAATAATCTTTCATGTTTTCATAGATAAGAGCGATGTTGTTATAAGAGGCAGCCAATGACGGATGATTATCTGGAAGTGTTTTCTCTCGGATATGGAGAGCTTGTTGGTAATTGGAAAGCGCTTTGGAGTACTCTCCTATGTTCTTATACAACACACCAACGTTGTTGTAAGAAGTAGCTAAACTAGGATGAAGCTCTGGAAGTGTTTTCTTTTGAATAGCAAGTCCTTTTTCGTAGTTCAGCAGTGCTTTCGAATAGTCTTTCATATTGTTATACACTCCGCCGAGATTGTTGTAAGAAGCAGCCAAGTCAGGATGATTGTCTGGAAGTATTTTCTTGTCGATAGCCAAGGCTTGTTCATAGTAAGACAGCGCTTTGGAATAGTCTTGCATCTTCAGATACACCTGACCGATTTGATTGTAAGTACTAGCCAAATTTTGGTCATCATTAGAAACTGCTTTTTTCTGGATAGTAATGGCTTGTTCGTAATATTGAATGGCCTCTTGGTAATTGCCTTGTCTATCTTTGATCAGACCTAGGCAATAATTATGAGACGCCATATCAGATTCGCTCGAGGCCTCCTCCAAGAGGCCCATGTAGAGTTCCTCAGCTTTGTTTATTTGTCCAATATCAATCAATAAGAAAGCCATTCTCTCCCATCCAGCTCCACCCAATTCCTTGTCTAAATGGATAGTCAAAGTCTTGAGTTGTGGATCATCATCACCAGTCAACGACAGATAAACTTCAAAGAGTTTATTGCATCCTTTTACAGCCTCGATCTTATCGATTCGGAAAACACTGTGCATTGAAAATAGGATTTCAGCTTCACCTTGGAAGAAACTAATATCGGTAATATCGGCAAACGATGTTTGATTTAGTTTCGGATCTATTGTCATGATGAAGAGTATACCTATCATACCCGGTTTAGTGGCTGCATCTGTAGCGAATGTCAATGATGTTGAGCGATTTTTGCTGGTTGAAAGGAAGCAATTAAATCCCAATAATCCACCCATATTTTTTTGCAATTTGGTGAAATTTTCTTCAGCAATCCCTTGGCCGCGGTAAACGATAAAGGGCTTGCCACCGTATTTTGCGAGCTGTCCCTTATGCAACTGCTTTAATTGTAGATGAAGATCATGAATAAAAAATCCCATGTCGACGATAATGTTCCCTTCTAATAAACGAAGAGCTCGATTCAAGATCTGATAGATAAAACAGTCGCGTGTATACCACCAGACTGCCTTGTCAGAACGATACGTTCGACCGAATTCATCGATAATCGCTGATTC